AGTAGTAAGGTGAATCAAGACAAGCTGCCGGCTTACCAGAACCATCTGTGAGCAAGCAACACACATGATAAGAACAGATCAGACCAAGCAGAAAATCCTGGAGGTGGAGGAAAAGGAACGAAAAATCACAGCAGCAGGTGGATTTTCAGTCAGTGAGCTCAGTGAAAGAAATAGACTTTTTTTTCTTTCATTGTCAGGAGTGACTTGAAAAACTGCAAGTCATTTCTGGTGTGAGAGAATTGCCCGTCTACAAGGACATTGCCCAGGGGACGCCTGGATATTTTGATGTTTTTCCATCCTTGTGGGAGGCTTCTCTCATGTCCCTGCATGGGGAGCTAGAGTTGACAGAAGGAGCTCATCCACACTCCCCCCGGATTCAAACCTCTACCTGTCGGTCTTCAGTTCTACCAGCACAAGGGTTTCACAAGGGTTGCACCACCAGGGGCTCCAATATATATTATGGAGAAAAGTCTCTGGGAAACTGGAAGAAAGCACCAGTGACTGGCATCCATCTTGTGAGCCCATTCACAAAATGGTTGTGCTGGCAATGTAAGCATGGCACCTGACTTCTGTTTTTAACTGGCTGTTTGCAGTGGCATGTAGAAATTGCTCTGTGTTTCAGTGATTGGCCAAGATCCAACACAGTTGATTTGCAAGGTAAAAGTTCCACATGTTCCACAACATGTCATTACTACAAGAACTCCCTACTGTGTTGCAGTATTCCTTCCCCCTGACCATCCTGTGATTGATGAGAGAAAAAGGGAATGAGGGGCAGCAGGATTAGGTGCAGGCTATGTGTTGTCCTCTCCGACACACCAAAATATCAAAATAGAGTGGGACAAAACCAAGTGAGTTGTACAGTATGATGTTCTGACTAGCTTGTGAAGGGTAGAGAAAGGAATGCTCCATGTATGTGACAGAGATTGAGAGAATATTATATAAAGAACTGCATATCAGGACATTCATAATACAGCAGAGTCTCGCTTATCCAAGCTTTGCTCATCCGACATACTGTATTATCCAAGGCAGTCTGCATCCCGCTCGGATCCACGTCTGTTTCAATACATTGCAATGTTTTGGTGCTAAATTTGTAAATACAGTAATTACTGCCGATAAGTTGCCGAGCCAAATTCAAGATGCAGGTCATGACCTATAAAGCCCTAAACGGTTCGGGCCCCACCTATCTCCGTGATCGCACCTCCTTCTATGAACTGGTGCGAGCTCTAAGATCTTCTGGGGAGGCCCTCCTCTCGGTCCCACTACCGTCTCAAGCGTGGTTGGTGGGGACGAGAGAGAGGGCCTTCTCAGTGGTGGCCCCCCGTCTCCGGAACGCCCTTCCAAAGGAAATTAAGTCAGGCCCCATTCCTCTTCCTTTCGTAAGAGCTTGAAGACCTGGTGGTTTCAACAAGCCTTTGAAAATGACCAGTTCTAACTCAGCCCCACACATGGTCTAATACATCCTTATTCTTTCTACCTGTTACCCAGATTCTTTCCTCTAATCGGTCCTGGAATGAACAGCCACAGACCCGTACCTAATATTATTGTTGCTTGCCATAGAATTGCACTTAATTTCCGGGCCCCCTAGAATTTTTGGGCTTGCACAAATCTTGGCTTGGCCTTTTAAATTTTTAATTGCTTTGAACAGGTAGGATTACTTTTAATATATGTATGTTATGGTGACAATTTTTATGTTTATGTTTTGTTTGTTAATCTTATAGTTATGTTGTTTTTACTCTGTATGTTTTGTGATATTACTTGGGAACCGCTCTGAGTCCCCTCGGGGAGATGGGGACTTTATATAAATAAAGATTATTATTATTATTATTATTATTATTATTACATAACGTTACCATATATTGAACTGCTTTTTCTGTCGATTTGTTGTATAACGTGATGTTTTGGTGCTTAATTTGTAAAAACATTACGTAATTTGACGTTTAATAGGGTTTTCCTTAATCCCTCCTTATTATCCAACATTTTTGCTTATCCAACGTTCTGCCGGCCCATTTATGTTGGATAAGCAAAACTCTATTGTATATATATTAGCTTTGAAAGATTTTGGCTATTCCATAGAGTTCACAAACATTACTTTTTTGACTTCAACACCCAAAATTAATTTTGTAGTTCAAAATTCACTTTTTTTCTGCTTCTTCAATAAATGTTATGTGTTTTCAGTGGAATCATAGCCTTAAATAAACTTGTTTTGCAGCAGGGGGAAGAAGAGCGATCATAATTTCAGCAACAAAAACATTTTCTCCAGTATAGAGCAGTTCAGTGGTAGACCACAAATGCTGTTGGGGTGAAACCGTCAAACTACCAAAATACCCTCTAGGTTTGAATACCAGAATTTCTGGTTAGAGCAGGCATGGTCAAACTTGGGCTTTCCGGGTGTTTTGGACTTCAACACCCACCATTCCCAACAGCCTCAGTCCGTTTCTTTCCTCTCTTCTGACAGAAAAGGAAAAGGAAGGGACCTAAGGCTGTTAGGAATGGTGGGAGTTGAAGTCCAAAACACCTGGAGGGCACAAGTTTGCCCATGCCTGGGTCAGAGAAACATATTTTGCATTTTCTGGCAGACAACCTAAGCCTAGATGGATATTTGTGTCAATCTCAGTGTAATACAGCTTTTTAAGAAAACAACAAATCATTCTATCAGTGGCTTTCAAACTATATTTGGAGGTCCCTGGAGTTGATCAGGGATTCTTCCACAAGAAGGCCATTAATGGCAGACCCATCTCTTGAAAATAATGTGCACCTCCAAGGGTAGGCTGCATACATATTCTCAGTTCATTCAAGGTAAAAATTCAGCGCAGTGGCCTTGATAAAATTAATATATTTTTCATTTAACATCTTTGTCTTTTAATGATTAATGTGAAATCCTACCAATATACTGTAATCTTTCTTTTGTTTCCATTAACACATCTATAATTTCCAAAGGATTTTCTAAATCACTGAATCATTAGCCAATGCCCTTGATTTATAAATTTCTTTTTAAAACTTCATTCCCAAGATCATTGGAATGTTATTTCAATAGTAGCCTCTCTTTCATCTGTTTCTCCCACCTGGCTTCTCAGAATCAAAACATTTCTCTCTGTTGTGATCCTTATTGTTGAGTTTGTGTGTATTGACAATCATATGTGATTATATTTAAGTGAATATTTAAATACTTTTTTATATATAGAAGATTAAGTGGAGCTGTTGGACAGTACTTGGTTTCAAAATGGAAACTTAAATACCATATATACTCAAGTATAAGCCGACCCAAATATAAGCTGAGGCTCCTAATTTTACTATAATTTTACTATAATTTTACTACAATACTACTAATTTTACTATAAAAAAACTGGGAAAATGTATTGACTCGAGTCGAGGGTGGGAAATGCAGCAGCTACTGGTAAATTTCAAAATAAAAATAGATACCAATAAAATTACATTCATTGAGGCATCAGTAGGTTAAATGTTTTTGAATGTTTACATAAAACTGTAATTTAAAATGAGAGTGCCCAACTCTGATTAAACCCTTATTTTAACCTTCTTCAATGTAAATGTGCTTATGTATCCTTCCAATAATAACACAGAGAAAAATAATAAATGTAATAATAATAATGTAAAATAATAAATGTAATAATAATAGTAAATAGAGTAAAATAATAAGTGTAATAATAACAATAATAAATAGAGAAAAGAAAAACCGTAATAGTAATAGAGTAAAATAATGTAAATGTAATAATAAGAATAAATTTAGTAAAATAATAAATGTAATAAAATAATAATAACAGAGTAAACTAATAAATAACTTTAACTTCAGTATAAGCTGAGCGGGGCTTTTTCAGCTCAGCTTATACTTGAGTATATACAGTACTTTAGATATTACTGGGGTGAAAATGTATTGTATGTTGTTTTGAAATACTTGTATAAATGGAATTCAATTAAGAGGGATAGGTTTCCTGCTTCTTTGCAGGACGTTGGACTGGATGGGCTACAATGTCTCTTCCAACTCTATGATTCTATGGAAGAAATTATATTTGTCACTGTTAGGGAGAATTTGTGTGATAACAATTTACCTAGAATTATGTTCCTATTTCAGACAATACTTGCTTTGACAATGGATGTTCCATATAAACAACGGAAGTTATACTGAAGTTGAAATTGCAAGGGGCCTTCAACTTCATTTTAAAACAAGGGTGGTTTTAAACAAATAATTGTCAGTGTGTCTCTGAATCCAGGAGGTGGCTGTATCACATTCGTGTTCTTTCAAGTCTTACACAGAAGCAATGGAAGGGCCACCAAATGTGGGCAGACCTCAACTTTTGCATGCAAAAAGTCCAGTTTCAGTCCTAGGTTCCTTGTGTAATATTAGAAGACTTTTGTTTGAATCCCCAGATGCCTACTGAGAATATAGACCAGAACATTTTTCAACCTTTGATCTTCCGGATATTTAGGATTTCAGCTCCCAGATTTTTGTGTGTGTCAAGAGTGACTTGAGAAACTGCAAGTCGCTTCTGGTGTGAAAGAATTGGCCGTCTGCAAGGACGTTGCTCAGGGGATGTCTGGATGTTTTACCATCCTGTGGAAGGCTTCTTTCATGTCCCCGGATGAGAAGCTGGAGCTGACAGACAGGAGCTCACTCCGCTCCCTGGATTTGAACCACTGACCTTTTGGTCAGCAGTCCTGCCGGTACAAGGGTTTAACCCATTGTGCCATGGGGGGCTCCAGCTCTCAGATGCCCCAACTAGAATAAGCCAATGGAAAAGGATTCTGACCAATGAAATCCAAACCATCTGGAAGAACAAAGGTTGAGAACTACTAATGTAGACAACAGTGGTTGAGATGACCAACAATAAGTCTTGGTATAAAGTAGGTTCTGATAATTTTATATAAATTGTATGAATCCCCCCTCCCCAAGAACAAAACAGCGAGCCTAATTGTTAATCCGTATCACATTGACGGTGATGTGTAACGGCAGAGAAAGAGTCCTAAAAAACAGAATTGAACTGAAGTCAGATAACCATCTCTTATTTTATTTTTTCTTTTAAAATTGGTATGTTATTAGTCAGTTTCTACATTTTTTCCAGCACTCTGTACAGTTCTCAAAAGGAAATAAACAATATCCAATGTACAAAGTAAAAAACAGTAAACTAGAAAATTCTGAATAAAATGGAGCAAGTTGCTGGCAAAGATACAGTACAAATTAGTAATTAGACATCTGAAGTGCAATACCACTGCAGTGAGGATGAGTTAAAGAATGAAATAAAAATACTCTATTTTAAACAAACATTATATATATATATTTATATATATATTTATATAATTATATTTATTATTTATATGTATATATATTTTACAGATTAGACCCAGTGATATCTGCAGGATTGTAAAAACATATTTACAAATCATTCTTCTTTTTACACATGTCATATACATCAGCACCATAGTAAAAACAAAACAAAACAAAAAGCCCAAGATATTAAAGGTTTTTTATTACTTGGTCCCATTTTAAAATATTTAAAGGAAGCTTTACAAATAGGATGGATTTAGAGGCCTCATCAGAAGAAGAAACAGCAATTCTTGTACTTTTGTGACAAAAGTGAATGATAAGTTTTAGTACTCATTAGATTTTGTGCAGTTCAGAGCCCTGATATTACAATCATAATATCACAATTCAGTGCACAATTACCTGGGAGCAAGCCCCATGGAATACAGTAGGACTTACTTTTGAATCAACAAACAGGCTTGCACTGTCCATCTTCTATTGTTACCCTTTCCACAAAAGTGGAATTCTGTCTGAGGCTGAGAGAGGCAATGAAAACAGACACTTGGTTCCTATCCAGTAAATTGCTATGCTGAAGGAAATGGTCACCCTCTCTTTCATCTTTACTTGACTCTACAACACTCCAAGACCCATTTGCCCTTTGTTTTCCCAACTCTGTTCAATAGCTAATACCTGTTTCTGCCCAGGATATCTTATTTGGATATTCAGAGCACAACTCTCAATTGATGCTAAAATGAGAATTGACTTTGGCACACAATAAATTGAGTGCATGGCAAAGGTTTCATCAGCCAAGAACTGCTTCACCACAATTCAAGCTCGCCAGTCTGCAAGTGCTTTTGTCAATCCTCATTGTGGCACAGGCTGAAATTGCATTTGGTGATGTTCCATCCCACTATATCTAACTCTCATGAGTATCAACATGTCACCAATTTCAGTGGCCCACGTGTTCAACAACTATGGAGGAGTTTAACGCTCGAGGGCCTGACTATATATTATGTGTAATTGAATCCTGATTCTTTCCTTTTCACTGTTTTCAAATAAAAACATCTTCTGGAGGAGGTATTTTAAGTGAAGTGTGGTCAGATATGATGGTGATCAGTCCCTTCTCTTTTCCACTTCAGAAACACCATTCTGTCCCATGGAGTTGTGTTTGCTTTTGAGACCTTGCATGGGAAGTGTGGGGAGAGAGGGTTGGAAAGTAACTGGAGGGTGATACAGAGTAAGAACTGTAAAGTATTGCTTCTTTTCAACTCAACAATCTTTGTGGAAAAACAGTATCACTGGTGTTTGATTACATGGTTGCGTGTAACATATAATCAGGACCAGACACAATCATGGAAGTGCGTCCCTTTAATTCCAAGCCTGTGTTCAACATACAGGGATATTCATTTCTCATCAGCTCCACTCTTAAAACCCTTATGGGGCTAAATAAAGCATTTTAATTCAGTTCTAACCCTACAAAATAGTGGCACATAAAGTTCTACTTGAAAATTACCTCTGGGGAGCTCAACTGCAATACTATGTGCCACTACTATCAGAAGTTACCGCAGTGGAAGATCTTTTCTTCCTTACTTTATTTTCTCAATGACTAGCATAGGTGTTATAGAAAGAGCTTGGTACTGTCATATACAAAGAAGGGGGAAAATGAAATATTTCTGAAAAATGTCAAGCATAAACATGCTTTCAACTTGCTGGATGTTGATATGTCAACACTGATGCCTAGGTAATATACATATACATGTACACTGTTGTAGTTATTGGCCCTTTCCTGTGTGATCTTTAGACCAGTTCCTTCTTGAGTTCCTAAAATTCAGCTGAACAGAATGTGCTTGGAACATCACATGGGTAGCCCAAACTCCATACAATTAACACCCATTCATCTTGCGCTCCCAGGGAAAACACAAGCTAGACACGAACACTATCATGTACTTGAGCATAATATATCTCTCCTTTTCAATGTCTGGTTGTTCTTGCATCCCTGTCTTTGGTGGCAGCCACTTCAGTGACCAATACAAGCACTGCATTGGCCTGTACTAGAGCTCTGCTTCTTTTCTTCACCCTTAAAGACAAACTAAATGAAAAACCATTTAGTTATAGAGGAAATGGACAGCAAGGGGAAGGCAAACTACCCAGACAGGACTTTTTCTACACATAAAGACGGTCTGATAGCCCAGTAAATGGCTCCATTCAGCTGTGGATGTGTCCAGTCATCACCATATTCAAGCAACCTTGGCTTGACTTCCTGTTAGACACATAGATACATGAAGAAACTTGGTTGTTTGCATAAACGCAGAGTTTAGCACCTGTTCTGACCTGCGTGGCTTGTACAATCACCTAACACCTCTCCTGTTTTGACTCAGGACGCAGCTGCCTCTTCTGTGTCCTCAAAGCTACGGCCATTCCAGTAGAGCTGAGTAGGAAAGTGCACTGTTGAGAGACAGCCACTGCTTTGCCACACAAAGACTAGCAGCCTCCTTTTGTTTTTCTCATTCCCACCTGCAGCACGTATGCTATGGCACAGACATTACCAAGGAGATGCTGGCAAAGCCTTCTTACTCTTGTCTTCAAGTCCATCCATGCCTCCTACAAACAGCCAGAGATCAGCTTGCTTTGCAAAACTCGAAAACCAAAGTGAAGAGATAAGGAGTGGCAACATTCTGCTTTCCTTTTTTGACCCCACAAAGCTTTGGAACTGTATACACAATCCCATGTGCTATGGATTTCCAAACAATTCATCAAGTTCTTGCATCCACTCATCACCTGGTCCACCTTTAATGATGGAATCTACAAGGTCTGCACTCTCCGCTAAATTTGGAAAAGAACCTCCAGTTCCCTCATTACTATAACCATAAGAGAGGTCCTGAGTGGAATTCCTCTCATATATCTGACCTTGGCTGTTCTGGGTGAAGTTTCCTCCTGCTATATGCTGTGCAGGAGGCTGGTTAAAACCAGTCAGAGTAGGAACTTGCTGATTTATTGTAGGCATAACCATTGATCTAGCTGAGTTGTTGGTTCCTTGTTGTCCAGGGAGCTGTTGCAACATCTGTCTTCCTATTGCTGGGTTAAGGGTCCGTACTGTCCCACTTGTGTCCATGACAGATTGGCTGATGCCTTGTGGAAAATGTTGCTTAGGAAGCCTTGGCTGAGCCGTCTGCATTGGATAAGCGGCACCATTATTAAAAGGTCCAATGTCACTGCTAGTCCTCCCAGGCATACCTTGTAACCCTCGTGCCTGCCAGTTCTGTGCTCCTTGTGGAACTGGACCCATCATGTTTTGAAGTCTGGGAGCTTGTGGTCTAGGCAGGACCTGGCCCACTGGTCCTTTCATTTGCTGATGCTGTTGAGATATGGCAGAGCTCACCAACATGTTGGGGCCAAAGCCACTGACCATGCCTACACCTTGTGTGGAGCTGGGCTGCCTTGGCCCCGGATTTGGGTTATGTGACAGGCTCATGCTACTTTGGTTTGGATGCTGCAACATTTGGCTCATTCCTGTGTTCATATTGTACATTCCCGGTTGGCTGGCTGCAGGGCTGCTGTAGGGAGCCATCCCTATCTCGGATTGGCCAGCTGCAGCAGACATGGCCCCAGTGTTCTGGGAAGCCCCCATTGTCATCATGCTGGTGTTCTGGGGCATCATTCGTGATGTCCTCATGCTCTGAAGAGCTGCCTGGTTCCTAACTGCTGCTATATCCTGGGGGGAACCTAATATAAGAGAAGGGAAAATAAACATCAAAGTGTAAATTTCAGTCCAATACAGAAGATTTCAGAAATAATGTTTTCTGTTTTAATTGTAAAGGATTTTATTTGGATTTGATTCTTGATAACCACCTGGAGTCAATGAGCTCCAATACTAGCCTTAGGCAGAAGCTGCATTCAGTTTGCAAGGTAAGATTCTTAACTCTGTACAGAAAGTTATCAATACAACTAATAATTGCCTAAAAATCTCCAAATGTGGTTTAAAAGAATAACTATTTTATTCTGTAAGCAATACCTGTCAATAACTCCAAGATACGAAGAGCAGAAGAAAAGTGCAGTTGATTTCCTAAAGCAAATCCAGTTCAACCTAAACCAATCCAGCTAGCATAATCATATTAGGGAAGCCCTGAAGCTTCAAAGCTTAATATAATAATGAGACAGAGACTTAGAAGTACTAAGGTATTCTCATTCCACTGATTGAATAGAAATATACAATGGAATCCCGTATCATTGCTTCTTAAACTGTGGGTTCCAACCCCAAGTGAGGTTCCCTTCGCTCAATGTTGGAGTCACAAAACCTTTGGCAACAGGAAAAAGTTTCTGAATGCCACTTAGACATTTACATACATCTGTTAGCAACAACATGCAGTGTTTACAGTGGATTCTTCAGAAACTTAAAATCATAAAAAGGGAAATCAGCATGTTTAACAAGCCTTGAAACTGTTGATTGTCAGTCAATTTTAAATCTGCATACCTATTTTATATATCTATATACCCAGGATCATGCAAAAATGTCTCAAGTGGTTGTGGGGGAAAAATTAGGCAAAAGAGGATCATGAGTGGAAAAAGTTTAAGAAGCGCTGTCTTAAATCAACTTTTATTTAATGCAATTTTATATATCCTTAAGTTAAGTAGTAGCTAAAAAACCCTGTTAGCGAATTATGAAGATGTGTACTGGAACACTAGCAAGAGAGTAATACCATTGGGCATTTGGCTGGCTCTGTTATGTAGTTGTATAACAACAGCTTTCTACTGTTTTAATTCCTGTACGTGTAGGTTCATTTACAGAGATGCAACACTGATACAGAATTCTGGTCATGTTAATTTGATATCTCTCTTTTATTCCTAGATTTGGTGTCATTCTGATGACTGCCTCTAAACATTGTCCTGATTATGGAATAATATGAGTTGTGTCATAAACTGGATGTGAGACTAGACTATATATTTAACTTTTTCTTTTTGCAGAAGTGCTTCATTTAAAATGGTGAATGACTTATATCAGAGAACATTATTTTCCTCATCTACATACCTTGCCTTTAGCATGCTCTGCTTTGAGATTTACATTAGATGATAAATATGGGCTTAATATGAAAGTCTAATTGCTGAGGCATGGACCTCTGAAGGCATCCCTTCATGAGAAGCAAGATGAGTTAATGTCAGAATATGAAGTTTGACCCAGAGGCTCTGTGTACATGGCCTCGCACAAGGCCCACTATATTCCAAAACACTCTTCTAAGAATCCTAGCATAGAATTGCATCATTCGTTAATGTAATTGCATTTAATCCCTGTGTGTGTGTGTGTGTGTGTGTGTGTGTATGTGTGTGTGTGTATAGGGAGGACAACTAGCAAAATACCCAGAAAGTTTAAATGATGCATTTTAAATGGGTTTTTGTGAGCTTTCTGGGCTGTATGGCCATGTTCCAGAAGTATTCTCTTCTGGCATTTTACCTGCATCTATTGCAGGTATCCTCAGAGGTTGTGAGGGTGTTGGAAACTAGGAAAATGGGGTTTATATATTTATGTAATGTCCAGGGTAGGAGAAAGAACTCTTGTCTGTTTGAGGTAGGTGTGAATGTGGCAATTCCACAGATGGACATTCCACAGATACATAAACCCCATTTCCCTAGTTTTCAACAAACCTCATAACCTCAGAGGATGCCTGCCATAGATGCAGGTGAAACGTCAGGAGAGAATGCTTCTGGAACATAGCCATACAGTCCGGAAAACTCACAGCAACCCAGTAATTCTGGCCATGAAAACATTCGACAATACAATGAATTTTAAACTTCCATTTTATAGTTAACTCTTGTTTTGTGTATTTTAATATGTATTTTATGAAAATATGTTTTAATATGTGTATTTTACAGAGTGTTTTAAAATGATTATGTGCTTTAGCAATGTTGTGACCCACCTCGAGCCATGAAGAAAGGCAGGTAAGAAATAAATTATTCTTATTCTTATTAATAGTAATGATACTCCTATATGAAGGTGACAGCCTTTATTATGCTTCCAGTGGTCTGACGAGATGAACTAAAGAGTATACGTTTGACTATACATACACTATAAAAAAACAAACTGGGCTGCTGGAACTAAGCATTTATTTTCACAACAGGTGTTGAACTCCTAAGTAAATGTCATGTAGATGTAGCAGCAATGTCAGTAAGACTATTCTCTAAGCATTGTTGGTGTGTATTATTCCATTACTTTGCCTGTCTGCTCTCATGCTTTGTAGAGAGTGGGGTAATCGAACATTGGAGCAAATGGCTTCCCTTGACATCCCAGTAGCTTCTGCAAAGGATGCAGCTAGAACTTTAAGGGAGACCAGAGATCAATGCAGCCGGTCCACAGAAACCAAGGCTCTTTTCCAATGGCCTTCTCACTCACCAGGTTCCACTGGTCAGAGATAAAAAGAGAAACCTATCACAACAGGCTTTTGCCGCATCCCTGTAAAATGAGTTCCTGAGTGATGTCAAAACACAGGAAGGTTGTTTGTAAAGTACTGGACACTTGGTCAGATTTGGTTGGTACTGTTTTGTGATGGTGGAGTCTATCTAGGGTTCTTTTCCAATCCTATCTGGACATTAAACCTAGGGTTTTTTTGTATCACAAAGGTGTATCAGAGACCTAGCTGAGAAACCAGAAGAAACTGTTGGAAAACATAGTCCTCCAGAAATACAATAGTGGATTGTGGGGAAAAACCTTATTATGATCAAGTATAGAGTATGCTGTGATACCCAGCCTAATTGGATTAAAAACCTTGTTATTTTAAGATCACACATTAGTCTAAGCAAACATACCATCTAGAACAGTGGTTCCCAATCTTTTTTGAGCGGGGACCATTTGACCAAGGATCACTTTGACCAGGAACCACTTGACCAGGGACCACTTTGACCAGGGACCACTCTCCAACATTAGTACCAAAAGGCTGACGAATTAGTTTTTTGGTCAACTTTAGGGTTTGGGGTACTGATTCAGAAAATCGCATTGGATAGACCACATCAGCTCTAGTTTCTGATACAGAACATATGTCATGGTCAGTGACAGGGAAGGAGTGGCAGGCAGTGCAAAAGGAGCGGAAATAAAATTAAAATAAATAAACAAAGAGGAAAGAGGCTGGAAGATCCAATTTTCGTCCTTGCTACTCACTGGTGGTCCATGGCCCACAGGTTAAGAACCACTGATCTAGAGGAAGCTGTTCAGATACTATAAGTCAGAGACTCAAGTTATTACATGTTAGCAACAGGTGGTATCATTTTCAGTTCACAAATTACTTATGGGTAAACATAGAATTAAGTCTTATTTGGTGTAATGATCACAACCTAAAATGCAGTGGGCCCCTGGTCTCTGCTGGGATTTGGTTCTAAGGCCCACAGGGATGCCAGAATCCATGCAAAGCCAAATTTCATTATATACAAGTAAAATGATGTTCCTGATATTAAATGGCAACATCAAGGCTTACTTTTTCATGTGCGCAGGGTGGGGGACAAATATTTTTAATTTGTGGATGGTGTAATCTGTGTGTGCAGAATCCATGGAAATGCAGGGCTAACTATACTATCCTATTCACTAGGACCTGTTTCCAGGATTTGTGCTTAGGTGTTCAACCTGAAGTACTTTCCCGAATTTGATCTAGACACCTTGTTATCTTTCAACCCATATTGTTATTCTGCAAAGACAGTATTGCCTTGGGACAAGAGGCTAATTCAATTTTGACTACAGTTAACAGCCAGCCTGGGATTGAACGTCATAGAAAGTCTGCCAAACAGGCTCATATTTATGCAAGCATTAGTTAAAAATCTATTTGGTCATTTAGAGTTGAAAAAGAAAACAACTGTTTGACTGTCAACCATCTGAGAAGCCCTTTAAATATTTCCATTATCTTTCAAAACTAAACTCACAAAAATAGAAATGTCAGTTGAAGAGTGACTAATCAATTGTTTTATAGCTTAGGAGGCATAAGTGAATGGATTTTCTATAGTGTTGTTACTGATTATGTCTATGGAAAGAAGAAAAATGTGTTTTTTGTCTGGACATTTAAAACAGAGATGGTGTTTTAACAAATCAATACTGAAGCACATTTTACTCTACCTTGGACCAATGATGAGAAGCCAGAAAATCCTATGCTTGTTAAATTCTACATCCTGTCAGATAACTGAACTAGATGTCTTCCTGATGTTGGGGGATGACTGGGTGGGAGGGAGTATTGATTTCTAGGAAGCAAATATGCTCCCGTGTTTATCACCTTTTATTTGAAAATAATTGCAGGAATTTTGATTATGCCAAGAGTTCATTGTGGCTTCAGTTCAATACAGTGCTGAATACACAACCCTGAAGACAGCTGAGCTTTCACTTTTCTTCCCTTCCTTCTTCCCTTCCTTTCAACACCATCAATTCCATTATACTTTTGCACAGTATAGTAGGATTGAAACAAAAACAAAAAACCACCAGCTATTTTTTTCCCATTCATTATGTATATAAAGCACCTTCTTCGCAGGGTATGATTCTGAATATTAAGTGCCTCTGCATAGTGCTTGCCTTTTGCAGACCACATATCCAAATTTCACTTTCCCCTCTTGAAGAAATTAAGTATACCTTTTTGCAGACCAAACATTTACATTGCTCTGTTGAGGCATGAACAATCTGGAATGGAGCTATACCATATATACAGTACATATTTACTATACATCATTATTTCTCAACTTTTGGGGGTTGGGACCCCTGGAGAGGGTCGTGAGGGGAATCAGAGGGGTCACCAAAGACTATCAGAAAACAAAATATTTCCTGTTATTCATGGGGGTTCTGTGTGGGAAGTTTGGCCCAATTCTATCGGTGGTAGAATGCTCTTTGATTGTAGGTGAACTATTAATCCCAGCAACTACAACCCCCACATGTCAAGGTCTATTTTCCCCAAACTCCACCAGTGTTCACATTTGGGCATATTAAGTACTGTATTTGTGCCAAGTTTGGTCCAGATCCATCATTGTTTGAGTTCACAGTGCTCTCTGGATGTAGGTGAATTACAATTCAAGGTCAATGCCCACCAAACCCTTCCAGTATTTTCTGTTGGCCGTGAGAGTTCTGTGTGCCAAGTTTGGTTCAATTCCATGATTGGTGGAGTTCAGAATGCTCTTTGATTGTAGGTTAACTATAAATTCCTGCAAACTACAACTCCCAAATGGCAAAATCAATTCCCTCCTAACCCCACCAGTATTCAAATTTGGGTGTATCAGGTATTTGCGACAAATTTGGTCCAGTGAATGAAAATGCATCCTGCATATCGGATATTTACAAGACGATTCATAACAGTTATGAAATACCAACAGAAATAATTTTATGGTTGGGGGTCACCACAACATGAAGAACTGTATTTAAGGGGTCGTGGCATTAGGAAGGCTGAGAAACAGTGCTATACATGGATATCATATTTATTCCATTTTTTTAAATCACAAAAAGTATAAGACTCTCTCAGGCAATAACAAATTCCTTAAAAGTGTTATGAGCAGCAAGGGCTCTTCTTTAGGAAATGATTCCAAAAGAAAAATTAAATCAAATTAAATTATACAGTTTGGACCATTGGTTTGACTCTCCAGTGTTATCCTGATCAATACATGATTAGACCACCAACTCCTTTTTTTAATCTATTGAAAATTAAAAAATCTTCTTTGCAAGTTCCATTAAAATGAATGGGTGCTGTATAAGAGGGGTTCAGGGAGCATACAACCCCTCCTGTTGCATCAGCTCTACTAGCTGCCAGTCTGCTACCAAGCACAATTCAAAGTGCTGGCTTTAGCCTACAAATCCCTAAATGATTCCGGTCCAGCTTTCCTGTCCAAATGCATCTCCCTTTATGAGCCAGCTAGAACACTAAGATCTGCCGGGGAGGTCCTGCTCTTGGTCCCGCCGCCGTCGCAACTGGTGGGGACAAGAGACAGGGCCTTCTCGGTGGTGGCCCCTCAGTTGGGGAACTCTCTCCCCATTGAGATTAGATCAGCCCCCTCCTCCTAGCATTTAGGAAACAACTTAAGTCCTGGTTGTTCATGAAGGCATTCAATGAATGACAAGAATATGGAAATATGAAGTAGCAAAAGATAACCTTGGGAACAATGTAAGACCTAAAAGTTTTAGGTCGTGTTTGTGATTGTTGTTTATGGTTTTGTAGTTTAAATGGTTTAAATCTTTTTTATATTTGGATAATTTGGTATGCAATTTTTTTTATGTGTAATGCATTGAATTTTGCCAAGGATTATGCTGTGAACTGCTTTGAGTCACCCCAGGGAGGTGGGGTATATAAATAAAAAAGTGGTATATAAATAAAATAAATATAATAAAATAAACAATGCTCTTTCTATTACCTATCAGTGGGGCAAACTCCTTCCAAAAGTCTGGTATGCTTAAATCAGCTTGAGCCACAGACAATCCGTTCTTGTATTAGTCTCTTACTCCAGAAGATGCCCTTACTTTTGACAACACCCAGGCACAATTTATGCAGATCAGTTGCATCATTAGTAATAAACAAAACAAAATGGTGTCTTCAGAACACAAATGGCCCCAGGCAGAGACAGGTGGCTACCGACTCTTTAAATGCACCTTGAATGAATGATTGGATTTTATTATATGGTCACAAACCAGGAGTTGCTCTCACCTTGAAACTGATTGACTTGTTGCACGGGGTAGGGATTTCGCTGCTGTTGCTGGAGATGCTGACGAGGTAAATGCGACTGCTGTTGCTGCTGCAAATGCTGGGAATATAAAGAAAAGAAAAGGAGTTAGGGGAAGAGAACCTTGCCGATTGTCAAGAAAGCCAATGGGGAGAGAAACACTCTCTTTGCTCCCTCTCTAGCAAGGTGTTCTTGAACTACAAGTGGTGCATGAAAGTGGCCAGCAAAGTGAACAGTAAGTAGACTTGTGTACATCAAGGGCTCTCGGCACATAGTGTTCTTTTTGATTCTGAGCATCCCTGAGTTTCCACAGCAGCCCGTTCTCTTGGCTCTCTCAAGAACCATTTACAACTAGGCAAAAAGGCAACGAGGTAACGTGTGTTTTATCTCTTTGGATGCATCTGCATCTGGATAATATGCAGAGCTAGGAATGTAATATAAGTTATTCAATGCATATACAAGTAATGCAATGATTTCTCCTACTTAATACAAGGAAAATGTAAGAATGGCACATTTCAAAATTAGTCTAATGTGTGTAAGGGAATAAGTAAAGGGAATTAATTGCTTTAAAAGGGATCTACCACATTCTGATAAATGTTAATTAACTGGTTTTTGTGTGTGCTGGGATTGGCCAAGTTGCTGTTTCTCCATAGCTACCACCATCATTGCCATAATAGTGCAAGAACAGAAGAGCCATTAGTGGTTTATGTGGGAACAGGAATCCATATGCAAAAATAGGGTATTTTTCTCTGATTTGAGGTCCCAATGACAATGCTCTTTTGGATGTAGCCACTTCTAGAGAACTTCAGGTTGGGGACATCTGGATCATGAGATGAAGAGTGTTCCTGTTAGAGTGTTGTTGTAGGTTTTTCAGGCTATATGGCCATGTTCTAAAGGCATTTTCTCCTGACGTTTCGCCTGCATCTATGGCAAGCATCCTCAGAAGTAGTGAGGTCCTGTTAGAGTTCCTGTTAGAGTTTCATCTTATACGATTCCCTCAATTATACATTACTAGAAATCCATTTGGGGTGGGGGGGCACACAACATTGTGTGATGGCTGACATGGGGCTCCATCCCTGAAGAAGTCTGGAAGTATCCTACGACACTGAGTTTAGTAAGCGTGATGAGGTCACCAGTCTCTGAAGGCCATGAAATACTGTTGAGAATTATATTCACCAACAGCTAACACTCAGGATTGTTTATAGGCCGAATACTCTCTGGTGGTATAGTTTCTGTGGTATAGTTTCTGTGCAGGAAGAAAGAGAGGGTAAATAAGTGTAGGTGTTGTAGAAGGCTTTCATGATTGGAATCACTGGGTTGCCATGAGTTTTTTGGGCTATATGGTCATGTACCAGTAGCATTCTCTCCTGACGTTCTGCCTGCATCTGTGGTGAATAAGTGTAAGTATTTGCTTATAAAATGCATGGGCAAACAGCAGTATGATTGACTCTACAGCTCCTAACACTGACCACTCCTCCACTTACTATGCATGAGTTTGGTATCAAACCATTCAAAAATCATCACCGTAAGTGACTCACAGTGGCTAGAATTATATTTGTGGCCCACTATAGTGATTGTGTGTCTGAAAATGCATCTGCATCCAGTTACTGCATATATTGCCTTATAAGCTTCCTTAAGACTGCACTGTTCCTTATACAGAAAGTTGTACCATCCACTGCATTGTTGACCCAAATATTACTGTAAGATACTGGGTTGGATGAAGACCTGACCATACTTAACTTAAACCTCATAGACTTAAAATGGTCATCTCTGATTTGTTTAGCACATTAGTCCACAGATTAACATATATCAAATTTATCAAAATTTTAGGTAATAGGCAATGCATTTTTCCAATGTTGTTTATTGTCTAAAATGGAAACAGGGACTGATCGGTTCCTGGTCATTCTGGAAAGTGTCAGATCAACTCACCATGTGTCAGGGAGGAATGGATGAATCTCTAGCACATATGGTCATTCCCTTTATATTATCTCTGTGATCATTGGATTTTGAAAAAAATGCGGCTTGTTGTGGAAACAAGGACTGGTGAGAAAGCTTCAGTTGGGACACCCTTTCCCCATGATAACTCTTCTAGGAGTGAATTTCCAAGGGGTAGATTCCTCTCACTGCCTGTTGTCTCATCTCCGCTCTTAACTACGGCCTCTTCTACACTGCCATATAATCCAGATTATGAAAGTAGATAATCCACATGATCTGCTTTGAAATGGATCATATGAGTTTACACTACCATATAATCCAGTTCAAAGCAGATAATTTGGATTTTATATGGCAGTGTACAAGGGGCCTAGGAATCGTTTCTAAATAGGCAATTTTGTATAGAAAAATATGGAGACTATATTGTTATAAAGACCATAGGCTGTTCAATAACTCAGCCGTGATCTGTCATCAACAAAAGCAAACGGCCTTTCCAAGAACCACCTGAATGAAAATGTATGGACTATAACCAGAGAACCTCTGGTAGAAGTCTAAGACCAGCATCCGAAATCACTGAATTATAGTTGTAATTCCTTATTAGCAACGGATGCAGGCATGGTCGTAAAAGAAACCTGGAAACATGACTGTTGATTACAGATGCTGCAGGCTGGCTGTATGCCAGTCATAAATCACACTTTAGTGACAGTGTATGCTGTAGGATATGTATGCTTGATCGTCTGCGTGTGTATATATGTACGTCAGTGTGGGAAAAGTTATAGAAAATTAGAGAACAAAAGCATAGAGTACCTGTTCAGCTAAGATTTGCTGCTGCTGTTGCTGCCGTTGCTCCCTTAGCAGGAACTGCTGTTTCTGCTGCTCCATCATATGAAGCTGAGCCCTTTGCTCAATCAGCATCTGCTTCATAATGGCTGCTTGTGGCTGGTTCCCCATAAAAGTGGTGTTGCTTGGGCTTGTACCCACATTGTTGGAGCCAGGTGGTACAGTGGACTGCATGGGAGCTGTGGACCGAGACAATCCCACTGGGTGTTGGTCCTAGACAATGAAACAAACGGGTTGTTTGAAAAATTCCCTCATTCATTCCTTTATGTATAATATATCATCAAATTGGTTTCCATGCAATTTAAACACAACAAAACCCTTTAACAATCTACTACTTTTTGGAAACAAAAAGGCAAAATTGAAAGAATATGATGTGTTCTCCAGATGATGTTGGATTGCAACTTTCAGAAATCCTAACTGACACAGTCAAATATGAAGAATGCTGGGAACTGCAGTTCAACAGCACTAAAGATTCCCATTCTGTCCACCTCAAAATATATCATAAGCTCAGAATAAAATCATAGTTTTCGCCAGGATACCAAATTCCATGATTGTTACCTGGAAGGGATGAGGAGTTCCAAAATCTGGGTGCCAAAATGGAGAAGTTCTTCTCCAGCATACATCCATGTTTGAGGGTGGAGATACCATATATACTCAAAGATAAGGCGAGTTGTTCAGCTCTTTTTTGTTTGGCTGAAAAAGCCTCCCTCGGTTTATAATGGGATTAAGCCAGTCAGCAGAGCCTAGAGGCCATTGCTTGTAATATATGATGTATTTCTCTTTCCTCTTTGCCTCCCTTGACAGTGTGACTTCTTTTCCAGTCAAAAAGGAGGGAAGGAGAGAAAGGAGATATATTTCATATCCTCCTTGTTTGTATGGCTCTCTTTCAAACCCACCCAAGTTTCTGGCTTGTATTAAATTTATTAACTTTATATGTGCATTTTTGTTCCCTTCAAAGTTTCCCCCTCATATGTTTGCAGGTCTTTGCAAATCCTATATAGACATAACTGTCTATATATAGAGGGGTGTCTAGATAGAAATATATGAATATAGATATATAGGGCTTGCAAATATTACAGGAGGGAAATGCATATATAGAGAGAATTTGCCAATGTTTCAGGGGGAAATGCATATGTGAAATTGGTATATATATTTATGGATCTATATCTAGCATTGTTTATATAGACATTGAATGTTTGCCTGTTACTATGTTGGAAGCTGGCCTGAGTGCCCATGAGGAGATAGGGTGGAATTAGTATAAAGTTATTGTTGATACATATTGTTTTTGTCGATCAACTTTTCTACTTACAGAGCTAGTTCACCATTTTTCTTTGAAATACGGTAAATATTCAAAAACATTTAACCTACCAATGCCTTAATTAATGTAATTTTATTGGTATCTATTTTTATTTTGAAATTTACTAGTAGCTGCTGCATTTCCCACTCTCCCACTTTGAGTATATACGGTATATAGAAAAGAATCTTCTTGAAAGACCTGAACATATGAGCTGGATTGTGTGGTGAAAATGCTGTTAACAAATCTTTTATGGCAGCCTTTCTCAGCCTTTTTATCCTGGAAGAACCTTTGAAATAATTTACAGGCTTCAGAGAACTATGACATTAATTGTTCTATCTATAGTTCATATATACACACATACGTCATTACACACACACATTTATTTCAATCACAACTGAGATTAACAATAATCTGGAAACCTGGGAAAGTACTATTATAATAAGAGTCATACGATTTGAGAACTCTGCCCTGGTTAAAATCTAGCCTACGACAATTTGCACAAGCTAAAGTTTTTGAACATATTTTGTGTCAGTGGCTTTCATTCAAATAAATGGGATTTCTAAGAATTCAGAAGACGCTGTCAAAGACTTGGATCCTTTCTCCAAGTTGTACTCGCTAGCATCCCTGTGGTGAGCTTCTCAGCCACCTGCTGCATTGTTTAGAACAATTCACTGTAGACGTGGGGGGCTGCCATGCTGTGTGTTTCTCTATCTGAGAATCACATCAATGGTGTCTGCTTGCTGGAGGAAGAAATTCATGGTGTGATGGCCAAACTCACACAGGAAGTTGCTCTCAGTCAGGGATGGGAAGCCAGCCAACGGCTTGCCATTTGCTGTGGTGAGCTGATGGAGTGATGAGTGTAATGGTATATACAGCTGTTTATAATAGGCAAAAAGCAAGCAGGAGAAAATGAAGCATTATAGGCGAAGTAAGAGAAGGAAAGGAATAAATGAAAAGACAGAGAGTACAAAAGTCTGGGCAACTGGAAATCTACCCAAGACCCTATTTGATTGCCAAGCTTAGTGTGCACATAATGCAGGTAGACTTCATACTCCTTCTAACAATGCAGTTGTGGAAAATATGAGACTCTTATGTATACAAAAACATATTGAAGGCCTTGACTACACGTATCCCATGGGCTACACAATTCCTGTCCCTGCTGTATAGCGCGCAATCAAATGAACTTAAACATTGGCAAACTTTTCTCTCTCTTAAACTTGAGGAATGAAAGGGATCACTTCTTGATGCGGATCAAGCTCTACTGATGTACTTGGCCAGCCATTGCTAGCCCTAGCCATTGTCTGGGTGTACATTGGAAGTGTCCAATGTCAAATTGATGTCTAGATTCAAACTGGACTGAATATACATCAAGATGAATATGCCATGGTCACTTTACCATGGTAGCCCATGCCTTGGTTACTTCCCGTTTGGACTACTTTATAATTTATAATATTATAATGTAATACAATATAATACTACTACTAATAATAATACAATATTATAATTATATTTTTATATTACATGTAATATTACTAATAATATTACAATATAATGATATAGTACAATATAGTAATATATATTAGTGATATTGTGCTATGCTAATAATATAATATATTGTATGTATATATATCTTGTAAGCTGCTTTGAGCCCCCTTCGGGGTGAGAAGGGTGACATATAAATGCCATAAATAAATAAATAAATAAATAATGCAACACTCTGTATGTGGGGCTGCCTTTGAAGATAATTCGGAAGCTGCAACTTGTTCAAAGATTGGCATCTAGGTTACTAACCGGAGCGCCGTATTAAGAAAGGATGACTCTCATGTTGTGGCAGCTCCACTGGTTGCCAATCTGCTTCTGGGTTACATGGAAAGTGCTGGTCATTACCTATAAAGCCCCAAATGGTTCTGGCCCAGACTATTTGCAGAACCGCACCTCCATATACAAACTGGCCTGAGTGTTGCAATCTGCGAAGGAGGCCTTACTCTCGGTCCCACCCCCATCTCAAGCATGGCTGGTGGGAACGAGAGTGGTGGCTTTCTTCATGATCTCCCCCTGCATGTGGAACTCCTTCACAAAAGACCAAAGAACTGCCCCCTCTCTCATCGCCTTCAAAAAGTTACTAAAAACCCATCTATGCACTCTACTGTATGGAGAAGAGGAAGACTAACTCATCTTCCTCTTATATCCTCGCCTAGATATTTTAAATCTTGTCTAGATACTAGAATTCATTTCAGACTGTTGGTTGTTGAAAATCATCTCATCTCTATGAGGTTTTAGCGGTTAGTTTTTAGATGTTTTCATACTATGTGTTTATGTTTGTATGGGCTATTTAAGTTTTTTGTTTTCATATAATTTGTTTGTATGTTTCTCCTCATTGGCATTGAATGTTTGCCATATATGTTAGAAACCGCCCTGAGTCCTTTTGGGTAGATAGGGCAGTCTACAAATTTCTTCTTCTTCTTCTTCTTCTTCTTCTTCTTCTTCTTCTTCTTCTTCTTCTTCTTCTTCTTCTTCTTCTTCTTCTTCTTCGTCTTCTTCACAGCAAACAAGATCACTCTGCTGGCTGTTGTATTGGATCACATGTCAGACACTTCCCAAGTGTCTAGGACTGTGTGATGTATCGACGAATAATGCGTGCAGATCCCAGTAAGGGATCTCTGTCTGTCTGAATTCGGAAGTCCCAGAATAGTTTGACTCTCCTGCTCCTCCTCCTTTGCTGGTTTAATCTGTTCAGTAACATCCTTCTCCATCTTGCTATATATGAATGTTGTGAAACTGTTCAATCCTATTTCCTGCAGACCTAAGTCTACTTACATACACATATGTCCCATTCTGAATTCCAGCCTGTCTGCATTGTGTGATTGCAAGAGTACAAAATTTAGTCCATGCAACGGCATGCACAACCACAAACAAGAAGGTAAAATTTATTGTGGACTAAACAAGATGTTCTTGTATGTTCACAGGCATACCACTTCTCACTGCCCATCACACACATTTTCCTGTGATTCTTGCCCTTTGCAGAGCTCAGTCAAGGAACTTGAGAGAGAATGAGAGAGCGAGAGGCGCGAAAGAAATCTTGTTAGCAGTGCCCGAGCTGTCTCCCAGTGTAACCGATGGCAATTGTTATGCAGGAGAGATGTGCCAGGAATTCTCTCAGGAGGTTAGAACTTAATTATAAGCAGTGTGTGTGTCTGTGGAAAGTGTTGTAGGGAAGGCTGTGCCTTTCAGAGAAGGAAGGAAAAAACCAATAGCTTTCTGCGCCTTCCCTCCCTTTTGCCCTACAAGAATCAAGTGAAAACTTGAGAGGCAACCCTTGCAGCGGCTAATAAGGCCCTGAGCACCAGTGAAATCTCCTTAAGCTCTGAGCGGAGGTCTTTACACACTACACAGGATGTCAGGGTACGTCCAGCCTCCTTCTTAGAAATCCACCCACGTCTCCATGCTCCCAGGCAGCCCCTGGATTAAAGCAGCAGGTGTGGGAGCGTCAATTTCACCTTCCACCAGCAAGTGGCGTGCCAAGCCTGAGCCTTCTTGGCTCCACCAGTCTGGGCGGGTGATGGATTGCTGCCCTGGGCTCTCTTTCCTCCTCCTTCTCCATCTCTCCCTCCTCCTCCCCTCCTTCTCTCCATCCCCCATGCTTGCAGATGGCTTAATCATGACTACTGTTCCCTCCTCCCCCTTCTCCTCCTCTTCCTCCTCCTTCCCCTTCTCCTCCTCCTCCTCTCTCCCCCCACTTCTGGAATAATACTGCTAACATAGAGCCAGGCAGTCAAGTGTTACAGCGCAGACCAGGTAGCCTGGCAACTGAGAGCATAATACCGAACAGATGGTGTTCGTACAGCATGATGGACATCACACACGACAGCCTGAGACAATCCAGGAATTCCCGGGTGGTTTGAGGCCCTCTTTGCGC